ATTCCAAGTAGTTCTAGAAACTCCGGTCTCTCCTTCACAGCTGCCTTATAACTATGGCAATGTAGAGTAGGAATAACGTTTCACGCAGGGAGAACGGCAGTGAGAACGGCTTACGTTTCACGCAGGGAGAACGACTCAGGCAGGCAGGCAGTTAGGCATGTTCGTGGCGAGCTTACTTCTCAAGTCTGAGGACATTTTCTTGGTTGCATGCCTTATTGAAGATCTCGTCTATGACGTGGTCAGGTATGTGTTCCGTGGACGTTTCAGTTGTGAGTTGTGATCGTGTTTTCTCTAACGAACGCACAATATGTCTAAATTCGCTAAGAGTAATCACATTGCTAGGATCGGTGGGGTCAGTGGCAAGCAGGTATGTTACCCATCCTCGGCTGCCAGCCCGCGAAGAGTCCACGACCGCGGGCGACGGAGTCTTCAACGACCCGGTCACCGCCGGTCCGGTCGCCGCTAGGGACGGCGGTGGCAACAACAGGCGGTCCCCTAGACCTGCATCCAGGCCAGCCTCCACAGGCTCGCAGCTGCTGGGGGGTACTAGCAAGAGGGGACTTGTTTCTTCTCGAGAGCTAATCTCCCGGGGTTCCAATCCGGCGTTGTGACCAATGGGTGCTCCAACCATTGTTGCTGGAACCAGTGGTGCTGGAACCAGTGGTGCTGGAACCAGTGGTGCTGGAACCAGTGGTACTGGAACCAGTGGTGCTGGAACCAGTGGTGCTGGAACCAGTGGTGCTGGAGCCAGTGGTGCCGGAACCAGTGGTGCCGGAACCAGTGGTGCCGGAACCAGTGTTGCTGTGGTGACTTGTTGGAGGTGGCGGGCGGGCGGGAAGACTCCCATGGGCAGCCTTGAGGCCTTTCTGTTAGTTTTGCCGGCGCCATAGACGGCGGACCAGGTGCTTCTTTTATTATGCGCTGCGGCCTGATCTTCGAGACCTTTCCACATGGGACCAGTGAGACTGTTGCCTCGGCGGAGAACGCCTTTGCCGGGTGACCGTAGTATACGGAAGCTGAACTCGAGCCTCTCATCTTCGCTTCCTTTCATCATAATACCAAGGCCGGCACACCATTCCACGAAATCCAAAACGCCATCACCACGGAAGTCGAACGCCTTGAACAATCTCTCCGGGAGAAAACTGTTGTCCAGCAACGCCATGAGCCCCAGGGACTTTTTGAAACATACGTAGCTCATGAATCCTTGTGGTGCCAGTGCACGAAATCTTTCGTACAAAACCACCACGGTACTCGACGGCAACCCGGTCAACGACTGCAACTCATCCAGTACGTCGGCAGGAATCTTGGGTGGAATACCCATGTTCTTAAAAGAGAAACAGCCACTGCATGTAGAGTGATCAACACGGAGGACGAACCAACTTACCGGTGGGAGGCTTTGTAGTCATCGTTCACGTTGGTGGTGATGAGAGAGGATGAGTTTGACGAACTGCACATTCATTTAATATTTATCTACGATGAGGTTAGGCGGTCTGAGCTTGCTGGCATTTTGTGTAAAGGGCTGGGATGCAGATGGTCATGCTGCGATAGGTATGACATGTATGTCTGGGATCAAGTCTGGAGCGTTGAGTCAGCTGAAGCGTTTGTTGGGTGGGAAGGATGTGGTGGATATCTCATTATGGTCTCATCAATTGGTGGCGAAGTACCCAGAGATGACTGGGATTTATTATCAGACACAAGACCGTGAGGTAGATGAGGGATTGGTCAATTGTGACTATTTCAAAGGCCTTGATAACTGTCAGGATGGTGTGTGCATCATGGGTGCTCTAAATTATTATTTCAACAAGTTAGTTGGTACTGAATCACATACTCAGTTTGTTTCCCCTTTGAAACTGAAACTGAGTGATACTGATCTCATCAAACTAATTGCAAGCCTTGTTGCTGAACTACATTCCGTCTCCAGATTTGGATATACCTACAATAGGAATGGTAAGGACCTGAATATTAGCTACCTTGACAACCATTCCAAAGTTGATACCACACAATTTAAATATTGGGATCGAGATCTGGTTCAAAAAACCATCAAGGATAGACCCCACTTCTGGTTCTCTGGGTGGACACATATGAATAATCTAGCAAGACCTATTATTCAACAAGAGGAAACACTCTGGAAATCATCCGAAAATAAAACCGAAATTTTCGAACAATGGGCTGCATCCACCTTCAGAGATAGCTGTCAGCGAGTGTTCCGGGACAGGACCAAGGCCTCACAATACTCTAGATTACAAATACAACTCAAGAACAAACACGACCCCGATCTTTTGGCCAACATGCCCATACTCAAAACCGATTTGGGCCATGAAGATACGCCACAGGGAGCACTCGGACCTGGCCTTAACGAGAGAGATATCAACTACCAAGAAGCCGCACTACTTCCTACCAATCATCTCTACATAGACTTCGACCTTCTCAAACATAAAATCCTGCTTGGAGGTCTTCGATTATCCTTTGTAATCAACCATATCCTGACTCATAAAGATGCCAAAAAACTCAGAATGGGTTCTGCTGTTCAACTCAAAAACCGTAATACACCACCGCACAACCAAATGCAATGTTTATGCAGACAACCCCCCAGTGTCAGGGTCGGGCATGTGGGGTAATCATCGCCAGGAGGAAGCCATTGCCACAGGCTGGTCATCCAATTTGATTACTAACCTGGCCATTGTGGGGGTTATCGTCGCAGGATTCATCGCCTTCCTGAACTTCACGGGGGACAAGGTTGCGCGACCAGGAGAACATGCCGGCCCCAAGGTCAAAGACTAGGTCGTGCTTGCCTGCCTGCCTGCTTGCCTGCCTGCTTGCCTGCCTGCTTGCCTGCCTGCTTGCCTGCATGCCTGCCTGCTTGCCTGCCTGCCTGCCTGCCTCAATGAACACATTTAGTTGCCATACCGATTAGCGACCACGCGATTATAGCCTGACTCGACAAAAGGCTCACTGATGATGATGTCAATAATTTAATTCCGATTACCAAGCCTCATAGAATGTGGTCATGCTATGATGGATGCTTTCTTGGTCGAAAGTTGTTGGCGACTATTTGATCAACCACTATTCTTCTTCTTTCCATGTTGGGTGTTCATTTTGATTAGCGAGTCCGACCACCGATCAGCAGTTTGGGACCCCATAAATTCGACCAGGGTTGAGAGGCAACCAGGGTTGAGAGTCAACCAGATGGGTGTGGTACAGTGTGTGTGAAGGGACGCATCGCTGAGTGAGATCGATTTATAAAATTTGCAGGATGATGCGCGAGGGAGGACGTTCACCGTATACGTCTACAACTAGAATAAACCGAGATGCGTCACCCTCCAGAGGGTCGCGGAGAACGTTAACATGCCAGGTGAATTCTGGGTCTGACTTGATTAACCCTGCTAGGAATACGCCATTGGTAGGTTGCACGTGGTTGTGGCGATAACACGTGTTTGTGACAAGTACGTCTGGATTTTTAGAGTGAGCCGATAGTTCACCTGGGATTGGGTAAATTGTCTAAGTCCACACCAGTGGGCAAACAGATGGAGAGGGACCGCTTTGACTTTAATAAGGCGATTCACTTGCCGTATTGCGGAGAAGAGATAATGCGTGTTATGCTTTCGGATGGTGTATATCAAGTGGGCTGGGCGGATGTTCCTATTGGCCCGAACGCGATGCAATTTGATAGTATGGATGGAGTAAAGGTTCCGATTGAAAATCGAGCAGGCAAGCCGTGCGGAGTTATTTACCTTGGCTTAAAAAAGAATTCAGCGCGAGTTCAGACAGACTTGCAGGTGGAAAGGACGCCGATTGGATCGAAGAACACTGACTATGAAGTGGGTCCGTCTACTAGTAAGGAGTCGACCGTTCCATCGGGGACGACGACCACTCCCCCAGATCAATCGATTCCGACACCGGGATCCCCTGTGAGTCCGAGTGGTGAAATGAAGTCGATGAGGTTGAGGATTGTATCTGCGACTGGATTGACGCTTAAGGACGGTTCTAGACCACAACGGCCATATATAATGGTTGAGGATGCCAGCAATAAGCTTCGGGGAGGGTCTGCACAGGGTTGCACTGTCGACGGCGATGTGAAGAACTATAATCAGACCTTCGTGATGCCCATAGCGGACCCGACAGAGAAGGTGACAGTGACAGTAATGGATAACGCAAAAATGGCTCGGGATCCGACCGTGGGTATGGCGACCATAGTTCCTAATAACTTTAAGCGACCAATTGAAGTGAAGAATATACCTGTTCTGAATAGCCATGGCGAGCAGACCGGGGTATTACATTTGGAAGCAATAAGTTCCGAAAGAACTGAGACGGTCGCTCGTGTGTTTGTCGAGGATCAGGATGAGCCTGACTTCATTAAGGATCGTGATGCTGATAAGCATTCCGAGAACGCAGCTCCGGTTAATCCGATATCTGTTAAGGCGGGTTGTTGTCGTGTGAGGGTGACCGAAGGTAAGGGTATTGAGCGGGATGCTCATCCCTTCATTAAGACGTCTTGGAAGAAGAAGAGTGCGCGCACGCGCACATTAACTACGACGGATCCGAGCGGCAATAGACAGTGGGAAGATGAGTTTGTGCTGCCGTGTACTCCTTCGGCGGATCCGTCAATGGTGTTTGTTCTACAAGACAACAAGAAACTACACAAGGATCCGATACTGGGCACGGGCGAGGTGAATGATCTGCAGTCGATTCTGAATGGCGACACGCCCGTCGAGAAGGTGGTCACCTTCAGGAACACGGCGGGTAGCGCGGTGGGCGACGTAAAGATGGTCTTCAATCCGTCCAAGGATGCTGTCAGCAAACTAAGTTGTCTGCCAGCTTCGGAAGCCGTACCTGAAGGCACATACAACTCTGTCCGCGTTGTGGCAGTATGTGCCAGTAATCTCGTGTTCGGTAAGGGCAAGGATGTTTGCGACCCGTATTTGACAGTCACTCATGACAAACAAACACTTAAAGGTAAAAAACATAAGAATGCGGGTCTTAATCCCATACTTATGGAGACTTATACCATGCCGGTCCGGCCTAACTACCCTGTGGAGTTTACTATATCCGATCATGATACGCTGGGTAAAGATGTGCCTATTGGGACGGGTAAGATCGCGTTGCCGGATCTGACACGCAAACAGCGCGAACAAATTCCTGTCAACGTGCCTTTGGAATTGAACGGGAAGAACACAGGCATGCTTAATTGTCATATGACCTTGCTGAAGGAGAAGGTTGGGGCACCCGCTATGGAGGCGGCGAACCTTAAGGAGTATAAGGGCCAAAACGCCCAAGACTTAGTTGAGTTTGAGGGGCTACCGGCGTACAACTCGCTTTCGGCACGCGCCATAAATGGAAGGGACCTACCGCTCAAAGACAAGGCAGACCCGCACGTTGAATTCGGACACGGCGGTGGTTCAGTGGCCTGTTCGCCACACAAGAATGGAGGTCCGAACCCTACCTTCCCGGCCGAGGTGGCGACCTTCCCAGCGTCCAACAAAGCGTATCTGCGAGTTACGGCCAAGAGCGGTACGAAGGAAGTAGGCACCGGCTACGCCTACCTGGGTGACTATTTCAACGAAGAAACGACTCCAGTGCAGGCTGTGGCGGTCCCTCTGGCCAGTGCGACAGGGGAGCCGGCGGGCACAGTGAATGTGGAAATTGCCGTTGCCGACAAGTTCTGTGGTCAGCCCACCAAGACGATGGGTGTGCTGGAGGGACAGGTGGTGAACCGGAGTCCTGAAGGAATCTCTAATGCAAGCCCTGGATTCGAGGCGCTTGATATCGAGATCGTCAAAATTCAGGACGTGCCCCTACCTTCCAAGAGCGCCAATAAAACCCCCTCCGCGGACCCATATGTGAACGTGGTCTTGGGCAATCAAAAGCTGCGAGGACACACAGTCAAGAAGGGCAACGGTTCATGCACGTTTGGTGACGTCTACCGATTCCCCTGCCAGCCTGTAGAGTTCATAAAGTTTGAAGTACAGGACGACCAGAAGCTGCACAAGGACCCCGTACTGGCATCGGCAAAGTTGGCTACGGCGCCGATCATGAATAACGCCAAGTACGCAGAGGTGCAGCGACTGAAGTTGCCTCTCTTTAAACCCGACGGCTCGGAAGGCGGGAACCTGTTCATGAAGGTCAAGGGTTACGCAGACCCGGTTTATGAGAAGGCGAGTGTAGTAGAAGGTACGGGCGCAGGCTCGGCGGTGAGTGCCGTGAATGACGATGCATCTTCACACGGTGCCACGAGGTCGGCAATCAACTCACCGTACAAGTCAATGCGAGTGGAGATTTTGAACAGTGCCGATATAGGCGTTGCGACTGCGGACCCGTACGTTGTAGGACGTTTGGGTAAGAATACGCTCAGGACGCACACGGTTGAGGATGGAGGCCACCAGGCTGAGTTCGGCGACATCTTTTACTTCCCTTACGACGGGGACAGAAAGTTGAAGCTGACATTGTATAATAACCGTAAGATGAAGCGGGATGAAGAGTTCGGGTATTGTAAGCTGGACCTGGATCCAGTAGTGGAGGCGGGAGAGACGTCGATTGTGACTGGTCAATTGGTGAACCGGAAGACCGGCGCTACCGGCGGTTCGGTGACGGTGATTGCGACGCCCTCTACCAGCGTGGTGCCAAAGGCGTATGCCGTAAGTCCGGAGGAGGACGACGAGGAGGTGCAGGTCTATGGGAACCACCCGGCGCCATGTCTGGAGCTTGAGGACTTTAGTTTGCGAGATCAGCCGGCTTCAGGTTCGGCGGGTGTGGGCACAAAGTTGGCGCCGTATGTAATTTGCAAATTGGGCAAAGGCAAGCTTCGAACCAGCGCTCCAGTGCGGCTGGAGGCGAGCACGGCTGGGGCGTCTGTCGCGGACTTCGGGGAGGTGATGCAGTTCGCGACTGCTAAGGCACCAGTAACACTGGAACTGAAGGCAGTAGACAACGTCAAGTTCCATCCGGACACCACGCTTGGCAGCGCCTCTGTGGACGTGACCACCTTCAAGCAGCCGGAAGGGGCCTTTGAAGCGCCGTTGTTGGACAAGAATGGACGACCGACTGGCGCCAAGGTTACCGGTAGGTATCTGTGGAGCCAAGAGAATTTGGGGAAGAAGAAGTGTCGCGTCGTGATGACACCTGAGGCGGGGCTGAAGTTCACGGCCTCACCAAAACATAATGGCACAAAATACAGCAGCGGACTGCCCTCTGCGGGTACGGCGGGTGCGCCTGAAAGCTACCAAGTGGAAGTGATGCCCACGAATGTATACCGTAACAGCAAACCTTACGCCGAACTCCACGTAGGTGATCAACACCTACGCTTTGACACTCCTTTCGATAGTAACGCAAAGGTCCGCGAGACCGGTTTTATTGGCTCCGGCGGCGAGAGTACAGGGGTGCTTAAGGTATGCGACGCAGACCAGCCTGAGCAGCAAGTTACTATGCAGGGCGTGGTGGACATGGCCGGTATCCAGGAAGGCGACGTGCGTAAACTCTCTATCCGATGCGTGGGTACTGGCGGCAAACAAGAGGTTGAGCTGCAGGTCGCCGGTTCCGACGAGCCTGTCAGTCGACCCCGCATCCACGAGTTCGGGATCAATACCGAACAGACAAAAGTTACCGACCAGAACGCACGCGGGATCTTGATTAATGTCATTGCCTGCTCCACTCTGAAGTCAGGCACTTCGCCAACTAATTCCAAGTCACCCACAAACATCCAATCACCAGTTTTATCTAAGTCGCCTGGGGCCTACGCTCAAGCCGACCTGGATGTGGAAAAGATATGTCCCTACATTACCGTACACCTTGGTCGACACACTCTTCGAGGTATCACCAACCGACAATACGACCCCAACTACCCCATCATGTTCGACACATTCCTTCTACCCTACAATGGCGAAGCGGAAATGCGTGTCACTGTCTACAATAATATCAAACTCGGAAAGGACACCGTTATAGGCTCCGCTTCCGTCGGTATGAACCAGTTCATGAAAACCGGAACGCCCCGAGAAGAACAACGCGTTAAGATCCCTATCTACGATCTCAACGGCAATCAGGCTGGCGCGCTCAACTGCAAAATACAAGCAACCTCCGAACTCTGCGAACCACACGCCAGCGAGCGCGTACGCACCGACTCGCCCCTCCGCGACCCCAAAAAAATCGCGCAGACATTCCCGACCAAACCCTAAATTTATTTTTAGTCAACTTACTACCATACCCACCACCTGCTCGGTGGGTCGGCCGCGTCAGCCCAGGCAGATCACAGGGACGAGAGGAGAGGGGAGGGAAGAAGGGGAGGGCTGCCATGTAGGATATGACATGCATGGCAGTGACATTCCCAGAGACTGTGTCTTGACAGACGCAGTCTCTGGGTGTGTTTGTCTGCGTCAAAATAACTGGAAAAAGACGATTCGCCGCGCGCTTGTGGGAGCACACGCGTGTGCTCCACGCGCGCGGACCCGCGCGTACATTGCTATCTACCGTCGGGCTTTTTTGGGGTTGTTTCCTGGCTCTGACCGTCGTCGTTTGGCTGGAAGTTCATCGTCGTCTTCATCGTCGTCTTCTTCGTCGTCTTCATCTTCGCTGTCCATGTCTGCATCTGCTTCGGAGTCGTCTTCGTCGTCGTCTTCGTCGTCCTCGTCGTCTTCGGAGTCGTCGTCGCCGCTGGCGGGGTCGCTGTCGAGTTCCTCGTCGTCGGAGCTGCCAGTTTCGGAGTCCGCGGCGAAGTCTTCAGCGTCGCCATCTTCGTCGTCATCGGAGTCGTCGTCTGAGTCGTCGTCGGAGTCTGAGTCGGAGCGTTGGTCGGCTTGGTCGTCTTTGGGGCCGCGTTCCGTGACTTCATCGACCATGAAGCTTCTGAAGCCGCCGTCGTTGAGGAAGTCTTGTATGTTGTTTTTGATATGTCGTAAAATGTTCGACCACGTTAGGTTGTTTTTGCCTTCGTACCAAACAACATCCATATCATTGAGCCAAACCTTGAGCATATCGAGTGACTCCATTGGGATGTTTGAGATGGTGGTGACGGGTTTGTTGTAGTCTTTGAATACGAATACCATATCGATGTTGCGCACGCCGTGAACGACGCGTTCGAAAGAGACGAGTTCCACGTCGTCCATAGGAAGTACAAAGGGGGGCCACTCGACGAGGTGCACGAGAGCGTTCCGTGTTGGCATGAGTGTAACACTTGTGTTGCGGGGAACGCCCAAAAAGGACAGCTTCTTGTTGGGTACTTCAACGTTGAAGGTGATGGGTTGTTTGGCCAATGCGTGCAGAGCACTTTGAGAAGTAAGTCCGCCACCGCTAGCGCCACGAAGACCATGGTCGCCACCATTGTCAGCAAGGTTATTGGCATTTTGAACCAACTGCATGGTCTGTTCCAGGAAGACTTTGAACTCCTTGTTGATTTTATTCTTCTTTTCCATTTCACGCTGTTCCTCGAGAATCTCATCCGGATCATGCTGTGCATGATGCCGGCTGGAAAACGGGTGACGACCATTATACCGGTCAATAACGTCGTCTACTTGTATAACATGGTCTGAATAGAACTGGATGTCTTTTATTTTCTTCTTATTAACTATGATTGGGTGCTTCAGATGCAAGTGGATGATTATTAACAAAATATCGTTGGTTATTGGTTGGAAGAAGCAATACTTGATGTTATGGTAAATAATGTCCACTGCCTCCATCCGTGGTGCCGTGTATCGGAATCCGTTGAGATGCGCCTCAAGCTGACCCATGGTTTTGCGCTGGTGGCCACCTGAGTGTCTGATGCAGAGCGATCGGAGCACAATGCTACGGCCCGTACGATTCATGAGAAGCGGTACCGACATCATATTCGGACCGCTCACACTACCATTACTTGACATGACCACGTCGTCGTTGCTCTTGTCTTTATGCTTCTTGCTTAACTCCTTTATCGCCTTCACCAACATAGTCGCATTCGTATCCACTGTTGTGATCAGCAACTCCTTGACAAACAAGTGCTCACTACTCAGCTCCGGTAAGATATTGTTTTGCGCAGTATTATTACAAGTACAGGGCTTCAGCGTCACAGACGCCCCGCCCGCAGCCGCCTCCGCATTGCGCTCGGCCGCCCCACAACTACACTGTGCAGCGCTCTTTGCCGTCGGCGTAAAGAACGAAAAACGGATCACATGTTTGTTCTTCTCATCGTCCTGCAGGTTCACGTTCCGTATCATTGATATGTGGAACGGCACATGGTGATTGTTGTACGGAATCAGCACTGTGTCGTGTATCGTATCGATGAAGATCTTGTTCGGCCTCGCCTCTTTCGGTAACTCACTCATGTCACGGTATGACACAAATTGGTCCAACTTCTTCACCGACTTCCGGTCCTGCACGAAACCACCTATATCTAAATCCCGGAAACGGTCCTTAAGTTCCGCCAGCTTACGCCTCCGTAATTCACGTTGCTTCGCAATCAACTTCTCAATTTCCTCCATCTTCTGCCCTCCTCCACCCATCCGTCTGCGTGTGCGCACACGTGTAGCCACTGTCTCACTCCGACTGCTTCTTACTGGCTCCGCCTCGTCACCTGAGGATCCAGTTTCCGGCTTTGCCTTTTCACCCTTGCCTGCCTTTTCGCCCTTGCCTGCCTTTTCGCCCTTGCCTGACTTTTCTCCCTTGCCTGACTTTTCCCCCTTGCTTGCCTTCTCCGGCTGCACAAAGTTGAACGACACCTGCTCCACCGACTTCGGGCAACCTCCCGTCTTAATATCAGCCTCCGCCAGACCCTCGTCACTTGTGACGATGCCTGAGTCATAAATCCATGCGTCCGTCTTCCCCATGTAACGCTTCACCGTGACACCAAAGGAAACCGGCATGCCTCTCGCCAATACGTTCGCGGCGCTCTGCGCATTGAACTGAAACCCCTCCGTCTCCAGTCTGCAACCGAGGACACCTCCGAAACTGGGAACGATGCAGTCGGCGATATCCGGGTAGTTACTCTTGATGTGGCTCATACACTCCTCGAACACGGCGTTAAACGACTTACCCGGTTTGATTAAACCCTGCAAATGCTTCTGGATGCTCAGTATATTGCTGTACATTTTCAATGTCTGTTCATCGCCGTCAAGGATTATCGTGCGACAAATGTTTGCGCACACACTGAAATATTTAGCACCCAAACCAATCGATATGGTGCCCTTGTCCAAGTGTAGATCATTCTCATCTGTAGTCGTCTGGAACTCCAGCCGGTACGGATTCGGGCCCGATTCGCACGAACTGTACACGATATCAATGTCTTCCGGGTTCAACTTATATTTGGCCCGCCATTTACTCATCCGCTCTTCATCCTCTAACGCCGCCTCGGCTAGATTAGCCACAGCCGCGTGCGTCACCTTCTTCCCATCCACCAGGATGTCCACAATCCTATGGATGATGACCTCCTTGGCCATCCGTGCAGAAACCAATGCTGCACTCGTCGCGTCTTTCTGGCCCACAACATCCAACTCAAAACCGATCCGGGTGAAGGAGGCGTCCACTGCCAACCACCGCAACTTTACTAACCCCTCAGGCCGGTCCTTGCAGTAGCCCTCCTCATCCAAGTCCTCCCGACTACATGGAAGACCCAACAACGCCAGGTACTTTTCCGCCTGCAGACCCATTGGTCGACGGCATGTCATCAACGCCCCACCCACCTCACAACCCTTCAGCAAAGGAACGATCTGCCCAACCACATGCGCATTATAGTCATCCGTGTTACGAGGAAGGAATAACAACTTGTAAGATTCTGTCAATGTCTCATTATTCGCCAAACGCTGAAATATTAACACTAAACACAAACTTATCTCAGCCAACCGCCACCTAGACCCAACTAACCAACGAAGCATAACCGCTCACAAGCGGTTCAGTACTACAAGCTCTTACTCTTTTTCCCCTTGGCCGAAAATGCTATTCTTCGATCCTTGAAGAATACTATGAGAGTCTCCGGAAAGATTAGCTTAAAGATCCATAAACTGTAACACAAAATGTATGTGCGCTCAATTCCGAGCGCGTTCGCACACGTGTGTGCTCTCGATATTGTGTTCGAATATTGTGTCTCATGTTGCGTACTGTAATGTTCCGGGTAAGGTATTAATGTCTTCGTCATCATCTTCGCTGGGTTTTCCAGTCAGTATGATTATTGCATCGATATCCTTGAACACTTTATCCCATATCGAGTAAATTGTATTAAACCTCTCAAGACATAGTTGTGGGTCTATCGAGTCCATTTCTGGTTAAAAATCAAAAACAACATTCGCATTCAAAAGGGCAAAGTTTTGTACCACCTCCCTGCCCAAGTTTCAACTCTTCCATCGTATATATAGGCCAACCTTCTTCGGTATAAGTCCTTGTCTTACCATCAATTCGCTTGCCCACCCCATTTAACTTCATCTCCTCATCAAACGACTTCGCGACTTTGTCTGGTGCCGATGTATTCTTTAAAGCCAGTGTGTTCAATGACGCTTGGGCCTTCTTTGACGCCCGGATCTTCTTTGACGACAAAGTGTCGATAACCCCTTCGGCGCAGCTTTTCCTGCTCTCTTCGGCGTCAACTGTAGTCTTTATTCGGCGGTCTTTCCGCAACGGCTTCTTCTCACCCAGCTTTTTTGTTTCTGCAAAGAGCGCCGATATCAGGCTCTTGGCATCCTCCGCAGCTTCGGCCTTCGTCTTCCGCTTTTTGCCCATAATAAATATAACACTTTCCGGGCAACTGCACTCGGGCATTTACGGTGGTCATCTCAGGTGTCCCATACATTCTATGGGACCGCCATATGTATCGCCGCCGTGTGTGAATGTCCAACACACCGGCGCCATATTTGCCGAATGACAGGAGGTACGACATAGAACAATGGGTGGGACATGGTGCCAGCGGGGGGTATGACGGGGGGCCAGAAAGAAGTGGGAAATGGTACAAGGAGGGGAAGCAAGTGCTAACGAGTGGATGTCCTAAAGTGCGCGCCGTTTTGTCTTCCTTTTTTTGGTTGTGTTAACTCTTTTGAAGCGGGGTGATATCATGGCCAAGAAGAGCAAGAAGACTACGGGGGACTCTATGGCCCAGAAGCTGCAGTTAGTTATGCGTTCAGGCAAGTGTGTCCTGGGCTACAAGCAGACGCTCCGCTCCTTGCGTAGCCGTAAGGCCAAGCTGGTCATTGTTGCCAACAACTGCTCCGCCCTTCGCCGCGCGGAACTGGAATACTATTCCGTCATTGCCCGGTGCGGCGTGCACGGCTACGCCGGCAACAATATCGAGCTCGGCACTGCTTGCGGTAAGATGTTCCGCGTCGGTACCCTCGCAGTCACCGACCCCGGCGACTCCGACATCATTCGCAGTCTCTAAACGCTTTTTTCAAACAACCACTAATATTACCCTCAAATATCCTTGTTGACAAACTTTAAAAGTGTGTGAACACACTTTTTTGTGCCCGCCTGCCAGCTGGCCTGGCCTCACCCGCAGTGAAGAAATTCCTCTTTGGCATCCAGAACACCTTCTCGCCATTCTGCTCTCCAACCACTCTGCGGGGCCAAGGAGAAATGAAGCCTGGACAACATTCAACGATTAGATTTGTGTGCGCACACGAATTACGAAACAAAAATAGGTTTGCGCGATGCGATGCCCCGTGACGGCCACCGTTCCGATGCCGCATTTGCAGGGGCTCACCCCCACTACTGTTGGAGCGGTAAGCCAGGCTGAAAACTTGTTCGAAAGCCGAAACGGAGCCGAGAAGGAAAAGAGAACGGATTTGACACGACGGGTAGAATTCAACTGTGACGTTGGGGCACCGTTCTCTTCTTGAGCAACGGCAGGATCCAATTTCCCGGGAGGGGTATCGCCGGCTCAAAAGGTGTGGACAGACTCAGTCGGGCATCGTTCATGAGAACTGGCGGGGTCCAAGCGTGCGGGAGGAGTGCCGCCAGCGCAGGGGCAAAAAACGGATGGAATCAGGCATCGTAAGTGAAACAAGCGTGGTCCAAATTCGCGTTAGCAGCACGATCAGCAAATGGAATCGAACACCGAGGGTAGGAGAAATCTGCGATGCTTTCGGGTTTGTGAGCTTGTTTGGCTATATGGCGTCGCACCCGCGAGTGCGGTTCATTTAGGGTGCTGTTCCCGGCGATTAGTCTTCGCGATAGACTTCGCGAAGAAACCAGACGCTAGCGACAGTCTTAGAAAGAGGGTCCTGCAAACACGCGCGCGCGCTGTCAAAAACAGAGAAACAGTCGCAGTGGTTTTCTTCTTGGGTCATACGCTTTCCTCATACGCAAGGTGCGGGACCTCGCTGCATTGCAGGAACGGATGAATGTCTCGGGCGATTAAAAATTGGTTCGCGAGATGAGAGGCCCAGTCACATCCATCGTTGGCCCTAATACCGTATTTGCAGCGCTCGCCACCACCGTTATAATGAGTCATGGACTCTTCGGGCGCAACAAGGATGATGAAGAGGTGTATGTGGTTGATAAGGACGAAATTATTGGCGTGCAGAAAGAAGCCGTCTGGAAGAAACGTAATATGGCGAAAGACCTAAAGACGGCGTGGACATTCAAAGCTCATCCCGTCACAGTGACACAGCTGCGAGACGCATACTGTGCGGGCAAGGGGAACGTACTGAACATCAATGTGGGCGCGGCCGTACAGTTGCGGAAGCTTGATGTCTCTGCAGACTCTAGACGTCGAGTGTGCCACTACTGGCAGTGTTGGAATGGTTCAAAAGTTGAAGAGCTGTTCGGAGGTCGACACGGACGGGCGTGGCAAATGGGCACGGATGAGACACGGGAAGTAGAATTCAACTTTGACGTTAAGGGAGAGGCCGTCCTTATTCTTGAGAAACGACGTGATACAGTTTCCCGGGAGGAGCATCGCCGGCTCAAGAAGAGTAAACAGACGCAATCCCAAGAACCAAGCCAGGTTGCATCTGTCAGGTTGCCTCTTGGTGAGCGGCGAAATCCTTTTCTTTCAAAGTAGTATTGCCAACCCAAAAAGTATTGAGCATAGATTGAACGGATGTTGCAAACACGTGTGCGGTTCATTCTAGGGCGCTGTTCCCGGCGATTAGTCGACCTTGGTGGGGTTATGGATTTCATGAAGGAGTCAGACGCGAAAGAAGGAGAGTCTTTCGGTAGTATTTGATATCCTGATTTACCTTAAACATATTACTCGCTTTGATGCGCTACAGCACGTGCGCGCACACGCCTGACCGATGTCGTTCATGTACCAAAGGACGGGCAGGCGGGGCCTAGCACAGACAAGAACACGCGTCTGACGGTTCGCCCCTTGTGGCAGAGGCACCAGTGGCGCTCTCCCACAAGAACGGGGAAATTCTTCGTCCCCTCGGGGAAATAAAAAAAACTTCGCGAGATGAGAGGCCCAGTCGTGTCCACCGTTGGCTTTGACACCGCCTTTGCAACGCTTGCCGCCACCGTTCTAATGAGTCATGGACTTTTCACGCGCAACAGGGATGATGACGAGGTGTACCTGGTTGGCAAGAAGGACGTGGCTGCTGCGGAAGCGAAAGCGGTGCTGGATATGCGACGCATGTTGAAACAGCAAGAGTACGCATGGAAATTCAATGCTCATATCATCACAGTGGCACAGCTGCGAGAAGCATGCGATACGAGTAACGCACCAAAAAACGAGACGGGCGCGCCCGTTCAGTTGCGGAAGGCTGACGTCTCTCTAGACTCTAGACGTCGAGTGTTGCACTACTGGCACTGTTGGACGGACAGGCGGCCTGAACAGCTGTTCCAATGGTCACGCGGAAAAATGGAGGAAAGGGGAACGGATATGAAACGACGCGCGAAATTCAACTTCCACGACGAGCATGACATCGTCCTTGTTCTTGAGAAACGGCGAGACCCAATCCCCCAAAAAGAGAGCCAGCTCAGAAAGAGGGAGCCGAGCACCGTTCACGAGAACTGGCGGGATCGAAACACCGCCAGCACGAGTACAAAAAGCGCGTAGAATCGGTCATCGTTTCATGAAGGGTGGGATCTAATCCTCATTGGGGGCGTCACCATCTCAAGGAGAGTAGTAGGTGAATCGAGCACCGAGAGTCGGGTAAATACCACTGTCGCATAAATTCTGCGTGGGGTACTTAGGTGGCTTTTTGCTTGTGGGTGATTTGTAAGAAATGCGGGCGTCGCTCCGTTTTGGGTGTTGCTTTTTCCGGGGGGTCTCTTGTTCCAGAGGTTGCGTGTTCCAGCGGCGGTTAGCTAGTCGACCTTGATGGCTCCGTAGATTTTGCGAAGAAACCAGAAGCTAGCGAGCGTTCCGGAAGCGCCGGTGATGAGGAAGACGGTATATGCGGCGAGGGCGGAGTAGCCGAAGTAGAGGAGCGTGCTGGCGAAGTTGTTGATGTCGAGGACTTGGATATAGTAGAGCACACTGGCTAGTAGAATGTAGACGCCGCTGAAGCCGGCGGACCACCAGGAGCGCCACCACCACCGGTGGTTTTCGTGGGCGATGCAGGTGTAGGTGAAGATGATGCTGATGAGGCAGCTGGTGGCGACGAGTAGTGCGCAGATGACGAAGAGGACCCCGAAGAGGTAGTAGAGTTTATGTTGCCAGACGCTGTTCATAACCATCATGACTTCGGCGAAGGTGGCAGTGAAGGGTACAAGGCCGCCGATGGGACAGAGGACGAAAGAACGGAGGTAGTAGGGCAGTGGCGGCACCATGCGCGGAATGAGGTTCGTTCTGACGGGCAGCTGCATGTCGGGTTGCCGGTAGCCGAGGAAGGCGCCAATGAACACGAGCGGTACGCATACCAGCAACCACAGGCCCAGCAGCAGTAGAATGTAACTCAGCGGTAACGCGCCGGTGCTGTCCTTGATCCAGAGAGTCAGGTTCATCAACAAGAACACTGTAAAGCAAATACCTGTGTACTGGAACGCCGTGAACACCGTCACGAGCAACGTATTCTGGTAATTGGGCTGCAACAGCCGGTTGAAACGGGCGGAAACGTACCCTGCCGGTACGCCCAAAAGGAAGAATAGCACTAGCGCTGTCTGCAAAACCAACCCGCGCTTGGAAGGGTTCACGAAGCCCAGGTGGATCAGAGTCAATGTCAGGAACATCATGCAAATCAACTGCACTCCAATACCCAGACAACAAGCCATTAGCTTGGCAAAACGCGGCTTGCGAAAGACGTCCCCGTGCAACAACTTCCAACCACTTTCCGCTCGCATCGCTTCGATGTCGGCTTCACTGGAATTGTACATGACCAAATCTCTTCGCAAAATTCGCAGCAAGATGCTGCCCGTAATAACCGCCAGCATCACGGTTAAATTGAACCCGTTCAGAATACCCATCGTGTGGATCTGACTCGGACCCGACACCGCACTTATGTAAGCGTCCCACCGGGTCGCCCATTGCACGCCACTGTAGGTATGGTAAACCGAGTAGGTAAAAATTATCGGAGAACCTTCCGCTCTCAAATTCAGATCCAACGGACCATACGCCGAAGCCTTGTCGCATGCCTCAGACTCGCTCGGCCAGTCTACTGATTTCGGCGTCATTTCAAACTCAACCACCTCGTTGTTGTTGTACTTGATCGTAAAATCCAGATGGTTGAACAACAAATACTTCTCTGGCTGCTTCATATGCAAACCCACCGGATAACCCCCCACCACCAATACCGACTCCGGGTGCTGAGGATGCGTCGCGTTATCCGGCATCAAATCCACCTTCCAATGTTCCAGTGCTTCGTAATACTTCAAGTAATCCAACGAGTTCATTCGAATATTTCCTTGAAGACCGTCCGCAAACAGATTTACGTAGTACTCTCCGTCAATCTTGTCTTTAAAGCCTTGAACTCCCTCTTTCGTAAGCGTCTTTGTACACAAAATCTCGCAATCGCGCTGATCCATATACGATACAGAGTAAGGGGTATTCTGCATAACATCGCCAAGAAGCACATATCCCAGCCCACCTTCATTTGTGACCAATTCAGCTGGCTTGCACACATCCATCGAGTAGTAACTGTATGGTACTTGCGTCTTGGCGCTCCATAACTTTCCTACCTCTATCGGAACTTTGCTTCCAATCGAGTAGTGATGGGGTGCGTATCCGGGCACGTAAAAGCCCGAAACCACCGTCGCGGCCACACCCAACCACTTGTTGACCATTTACAAAAAAATTGCCCCTCTCGTCGCTTCAAACCATAACAATCAAGTTAAACTGCGCACAACACACACGTGTGCTATGCTATGAAGAGATCACCCATTTTTGTATATCTGCTCTTGTCTGGTCACAAATGTCACGGCGTCAGATTACAAGACGTTCTGCGCCCGGGAAGCATGGGTTTTTCTCCTCCTCCACCGGAGAGCGTCAGAGAACATCACTTGGAACATCACTTGGAACATGATCATGAGAAAACATCTCCAAACGTTGTGATCGACACCCGACGACGCCATGGGAACGGAACCCCTTGCGCTCGCTGTGGAGGTTATTGTGGCGGGTGTTGTGGCGGGCGATGTCATGGGGATGATAGAGGCGGTGGAGGTGGAGGAGGAAATAACATCAACATGGCATTAACGCCTCTGGCGGGAGGACCTTCGGGGTCTTTGCATTCCCTCGATGAACTTGAAGAAGAGGATGATGACCCAGTGATAACTGACATGTAGGATCCGAGTATCATTTACACAAGTCTTATGCAGCTTAGTTCACGAACAAGTGGACGACACCCAACGGAATAAAGAGAACAATGACCATAAAGAAAAGGAGGAGGAATATGAGGATGGCCGAGATGAAGCTATGGAGGAGGACGTGCCCAGGGAAAATGCCGAGCTACAAGAGCACGCATTTGCCGTAAAAGAAAGACTACATGACTTGCCGGATCAGCCGGAAAAGCAGGCCAATACGATTGCCCTCCGTAAGATACATCTGTGATTCGCCGTAATGCATTTTAATCAGAGGAGAAACAGGAGGAGAAAGATGTCAAACGAAACGAGGTAGAGGAACGACTCGAAGTCTTGAAAGACGAGGAGGAGGAGGATGAACCGGCTCCTCCTATTAAACATGTAGGCGCCAGCAACGGGAAACATGAAATCGTTCTTGCAGGAGGTTGAAGAGTCAGCGACAGTCTTGGATGAAGTCCCATCAGATGTGGAAGAGAGCGGTAAGTGGTATCGCCTGCATAACTTTATTCTTGTCAGCGGTACCGATTGTGTCTCCTGATCGTCCAAAGTCAGCTGAAGTCTTCTGTGATGAAGTCAAGAACGAAGCGGAAAAGGCAAAGAAGCTTAAAGACGAAATCAAGCAGGAGTCTGATCAGGTAAAGATAAAGGAGAATGAGAAGCGATTGGAGGACGAGTCCGCCAAAGCGCAAGAGGCCATTGACCGCGAGAGCGCGCAATTAAATTAAAAAATTCTTTTTGGTTCATGCAGTCCAAAGACCGGGGAACTAGTAAGATCAGAGTTGTTAATGACCCGCTCTGACAACTTTAGGCAAGCGCCATGATCCAAATCCATTGGAGATGCAGGCGAAGCTTGATAATGTCTTAGGTGACAAGAACATTTTCATCAAGAGTGCTAGAGCCAGTTTCAAGGTAAGGTTTGGATGTTAGGGGTTGAGGGCGCATGTGATTGTAGCAATTTGATATGGATCATTCCAATTCTCTTAACTTCGCGGAGTGCCAGCGGCTAATTCAGAGGTTGTCGGAGAATCTTGCTTTACCCCCGGTGGATCCCGAGACTTTGCGAGGTATTTTTGATAGATTCAATACCAGTGACAGCGACGAGTTAAGCGCGGAGGACTTCACAATGATGTTCTGGCAAATTCTTTGGAGAGTTCGAGAGCGTTATTACCCGAGTAAAACAGTGCCGGTGCGACGTTCTTTTTTCGTGGGCCGAACAGCCATCGGCGACAACCAGATCAAGAGTACTGTGCACACGAGTTTGCACACACGCGCAGTGGCACGATCAGATGTGCTGTTTCATAGAGCTGTTTCACTTTGAGAAGCTGCTCGGTCAAGGTTCCTTTGGACAGGCATTCATGGTCATTGAGAAGAGCTCACGCCTTGAGCGGTGTTGCAAGGTTATAAATAAGGATAAAGCCAAGGTCCCAATAGAGCAGATTGAGGCTGAGGTGACGGTGTTGAAGAGCCTAGATCATCCAAACGTGATTAAGATACTGGACGTTTACGAGGATTACCATAATCTGTATATAGTCCAAGATTTATGTACCGGAGGTGAGTTACTGAAGCGTCTGTCCCAAGCTCACGAGCGAGCAAAGCTTCTGACGGAGAAGTATGTGCGAGAGATCATGAATCAAGTGTTGAAGGCTTTGGCTTACATTCACGAGATGAATGTCGTTCATAAGTAAGTGGTGGGTCCGGGATGGTAGTTTTGTGCAGGGACTTGAAACCGGAGAACATCATGTTCGCTGATAAGGGAGTTCATTCGGAGATTAAGGTGATTGATTTTGGCTTGGCGGAGATGTTCGAGGATCAGAACCAGATGAGCACGCACGGTGCCGGAACGATATTGTATATGGCGCCGGAGGTCTTTGCCGGGTGGGTGACGATCAAGTGCGACATGTGGTCGGCCGGCGTGGTGATGTTTCAGTTACTTACAGGTCGGTTGCCGTTTCCGGGACGTTCTGTACCGGAGGTGAAGACTAAAATAATGCGGCAGGATCCGCCTTTCCGTGAGTATTGCCGCCATTTGTCGGAGGAGGGGGTGGACCTGTTGAGGAAGTTGTTGGACAAGAACCCTAAGACGCGCTTGAGTGCTAAGGCGGCATTGAAGCACGCATGGTTCGAGAGCGCTCGACCCAGTACGGTCGAGTTGGACGCAGACGTGTGCGCGAACCTGGCAAACTATGCGCGACATTCGAACTTTAAAGCGGCATTAATTAATTTAATGGCGCATCAGTTGAACTTCAATTCGGTACAGATTCGGCGGGTTACGGAAATTTTCCGGCAATTTGACGAGGACAACAACGGCATCTTAAGTCGATCGGAGTTGGCTAAGGGGCTGGACCGTGCTGGTTTCGAGAAGTGGGAGATTAACAAGATCGTACAGGCACTCGATGTGGACGGCAGCGGCGACATCAGCTACACCGAATTCCTGGCCGCCGCTTACACATGGCGCGAGAGCGAACTGAACATCATTTGGACGGCCTTCAACAAACTCGACCGTGATCATGATGGTTGTATCTCAGTTGAGGAGTTTGTTGAATTACTATCTGGCCAGGCTTCGGGCACGGGTGAGACCTCTAAACTGATCAAGAAGGATGAAATCGCGAACATACTTAACGCCGTAGACAGAAACAAAGACGGCATAATAGACTGGCAAGAGTTCCTCGCGTATATGAAGTCAGAGAATTAGAGCGCCGCTTTTACGTACTCAACGTGATATATGTACCGGCTGCTGTGGGGTGACTGACTCTTTGGGACGATACTTTGACGCTTCGGGGAGGTGAGGGGGGGCGGAGTTTTTAGTAAATGATTACAGCGGCCGGGGAGGTGGAGGGTGCGCCCGTTGCGGATGAAGATCATTTGCTGGAAGAGATTGATCCAGTAGTCGCTGTACCCCAGGACGGCACCTTGGCCAACGACATTCGGAAAGTGATCGCGAGAAGGGCTGCGAACATGGTTGAATCCTACTTGTCGGGAACGGAGAGAGCTTACTGGCCGTCCCAGAATCCCCCCGTTCAGTATGGCACGCCAGTGCAATATGGTAAGCAGTTCTCCTGACCCGCGGTGGTCCCCAAAGGTGGTGGTTGCTGATGGATCCTAACTGTATCATTTGTTGGCGTAGGTCCCTATCAGCCATTGTTATACTCTGGTTTGCCTACTCCGGGTCACATACCGAGTGGCGGGCAACCGTTTTATCCATTGAATTACATCCAGTACAGCAGTGGACCAGCGCTGGTGCCGAGTCCATCTGGGCGGATAGCGGGCGAGTCTGGACCAGCCAGTCCTCCCATTCCAGGTGGCTTGCCGTTGCCGCTTTATTACCAGTCGAAATCGAAAGCGGGATTGTCGAATGTCCTGATGTTTGGCGGTTCGTTGTTAATTGGAGGACACGCGTGCGTCGAATTATTGTTAGTGCCTCTCGACAAAGCTGTCACTCAAATCTGCTTAGTTGCGTTCTCCATATTATTGGCATGCTTGGAAAGCAGCTTCATACCAGGCCACGGCCAGCTGCTGAGGCATTTGGAGACGTGGTGTAAAGTCTTAGTTAGACCAAAAGGCCGAGGCGTTTTGGCAATCACGCTAGCGCTTTTATACGCCTCCATTATCCGGCTCACTCTGGGTAGCTTAGTAGTGACTCTAATTGTGTTTTTGGTGGGTCTTAACCGGATCTTATAGAGCAGCTATAAGAATTCGATACATTTGGATAGGATGTTGCAACACCCAACAGAGGGATTTATACGAAGAGAGAAATCCAACACGAAGAAAGCGCCCCGATTCCAGAAGGGGAATATTTAGTACATGTTGGAAGTCCAATACGATGGCTGTGGGTTAAGTTATATGAGTACACTTTCTGGTGATGAGGAATTGTCTCTGTTGACATGGATGAAGGATGAGTTCTGGTGCAAGAGACCGGTGTGCAGATTTGTACCTGAAGATTCGGAGAGTCCAGGAGAGGTACGAAAGAGTGTGTATCAGGATAGGAGTGGATATACGGAGAATCGGGGTACTATCCCTCAGACTCAGTTGAGGCACTTTTTGAAGACATTTATGACATATGAAAGCCTCGCCTTTTGGGGCTTATTGGTTTGCTTTCAGCAGTTCTGTTACGATATTACCTGGATGCCCCTTAAAGCCGCGGGGGCGCTGGGTAAGATCCTCCGGATGTTATGGTTCAATTCGTTCCGAGGATTGTACAGATACAAATTGAAGAGAATTAATTCCCTTACAGGTTCAGGAATGGGTTCCCTACGCATGGGGGCAATGGCAGGGATTGGGCGTCAGGCTTCGCCCAGACATTCGGCCCCTCCCTGTCCAACAAGGTCGAACACCATTAGAAGACCGGTAGTAACAGGCTCTACATCGACTACCAGCAGATCCGCTCGGTCTATGCGGTCGAGCGACGGCCAACCGAAGGGTTTTGAAGACCCTCTCCCAGGACCGGGCGATCCGATGCTGAACACTAGTGCCGGAAACGCAAACGCGAAGCCGGGTCAGCGGTTACGAAATTGGCTGAATGGCTACAGACTTGGTGACACATCCCCTGCTCTACCCGCGACGCCTGCGATGGATTCGAAAAGGCGTAAGTTTAAACTGTGGCTGAAACGGCTTGGAGCTCCAGGCTATAAGGTGCTCCAGGAGACTGGCAGGCTGCTGGAATGCAGACTGGAAATGATCGGCCCCACAGATGTAAGCAACCTTTCGACCTTAATGGCCTTTCTACTCTCTTACTGGTTATTCAGAAGATGCGTATCATTCAGTGCTGCATACCACTTCATTCGTTCTCAAAGCTTATTAAAACTTTACGTGATATTCAATGTGCTGGAAGTTGTCGACCGCATGTGGCGTTCCCTGGAGCGTGACGCCCTTTACGAGCTCATGGCGAACATGAATCGGCTATTTTGTGACTTGCACCCGAAGCAGAAAGTTGTGATTGCCAAACGAGCCTTTGACCGAAAAAATGAGCCCGGGGGAGATCATGATGGGGGAGATCATCAAGAAAGGGATCAGCCGGCTGGATCGGTGGGAGGGGAACGGGAAGCAACATCCCCGGGAGGATGTTGGCGAGAGTCGACCGAGAGCTCTTTTATGGGTGTGACCGAGGGTCTGGATTGGTGTTCGGCAATCGGAAACATTGTCCTAAATTTGACGATATCGGTCCTTTGTATTTCAAGTCATGTGGTTATGCATTTGGCTCGTGGTCTATTATTGTGCATCTCCATGACGTCGGAGCCTACGGCAATGTTCCTATTGCTCTTTTCGAACAACTGGGCCGAGTTGAAGGGTACTGTGTTCAAGAAGCAAACCTTATTTTCATTATTTACCCTCGTGTCAGGTGACATCATCGAACGGTTTCAGGTTTTTACCGATGCCCTCTTCGTCTATCTGCAAATGAATAGTGCTCTCCGAGTCGATACAGAAGGCGAACTAAATGGACCCACCACGGTGGTTAAATGGCTCACTCTAATGTTCGCCATTGAAGTTATGGTAGACTTCTGTAAATACGCATTCCTGATCAAATTCAATAAGCTCTCCTATATGGTGTTCTCAGAATTCGAATGGGTCCTTGGATTTGATTATCTTGTGAGCCGGTCTCCTACCTTTCTAGTGACTCGGAAGCATTCAGTAAAACAACTAGAGGTACCCGTCAAGTTTCAAGGCATGGCTCCTTTCTCAAGAATCTCAGCTGAAAGACTCGGCTTTCAGACTCTCGCCCTACTCATCTTCCTCCTCTCCTGTCTACCAATTTCTAACTTGCTCCAATACCCATTCCTCTCAGCTGCCTGTCTTCTTCTCACCTGGACATCAGTCGTTCTCCTCAATGTAACATCTCCTCACCCGCTTGTTCCTTGTCACCCCGCTACTCAGTGTAGTGTCTCCCCGCTACTCAGTGTAGTGTCACCCCGCTACTCAGTGTAGTGTCTCCCCGCTTATCCTATCCTTTCCCACTTATCATCCCTTCCCACTTATCATCCCTTCCCGCTTATCCCTTTCCGTTATCAATTTCAGAGCATCTTATCGTTGTTCCTTATGGCCTACTGCAGTCGCCACCTAGACTCAATTATGAGCGTGACAGACGACATCGCACAGCTCACCTCTCAATAAAAATGACATTGCTTGAGTTTCTGAACTCGGGTTTGTGAGGTAGGACTTTAGACCCCGTAATAATACACCAGCTTGAGAACTTTGGTACCAGAACAATGTGAGCTAATCAATCTGGGGCTTGGGGGGCTTTTGGACGGCTTTGGGCAGATGGCAACCCAGCACCTTTTGTAGCTTCGTAATGATTTGACCATTCGGAATAGCCTGCAACAACCAAATGTTGTCAACTGGGGTACGTCAACTGGGGTACGTCAACTGGGGTACGTCAACTTGGTGTCAGTTAAATCGGGTAAGTGGTGTCAGTTCGAGTGTTTGGTGAGGAGCATACGCGGCCTGATTCGTAGTCTGCAACCACAGAAGGTTTCTCGTTTATTGCTTGCGCCAGTTGCGATTGGGTCATCTTCTTCTCCATGCGCGCTTTTTGGAGAGCATCCCTGAAGCTGTTGGTGAGCTTGGGCAAGGCTGTTTGTAAGTCATCCTGCTCCAGCCGTGCAGCGTTTATGGTAACTGGTCTGTTCTTGTTGGTTCCAGCGTTCCCTAAAAATGAGATGTATTACCTTGACTACAGGGAACGGATTGAGGAACGGATTCAGGAAAGTTTATTCGAAGCACTTTATGGGGAACATTCATGGGGAACGCTTTATGGGGAACGCTTTATGGGGAACACATTATACGGAGCACTTTGTGCAGATGGCGGCGCGCTTACATTTCTTCTCGACTACCACTCCTTTGCCTTGGCGCAGAGCGGCTGTGACATCCCTGCTATTTTTGCTCAGTCCGCTCATCGATAAAAATGAAAAAGCAAATCCTCTTTGCCACGGGCGTGGCCGCTCTGGGAGAGCGCGACACGAACCAGTTTTATTCTCTGACTTGCGGCCGAGTTCCTTGGGACCCTGACGCTGTACCGGACTTGAGTACCCGTTATCCCTTTGGCGCGGACGGAGAAACGTGCACCACACCCGCGGATTACTTGCTCCAGACTGCGCCCTTTTACGACGGGGAGCAGACGGGTTTCTGGGCCGATTGCGAACGTGCATTCGCATTTGACGTGTGCGAGGACTACATGAAACCCGTATGCGACAGCTTCTGTAAAGATGCCTGCCTCTCCCATTGCAGAGAGCCCTTCGCCACATTCCAAGCCCTTCAAACATGCGTCAATTCACACGGACTTAACAGCTGCGCCTACCGATACGGTCTTGTCAACTTTATCAGCATCAAGTCCGCCTGCCAGTAAGCAGCACACCAATTCGAGCATACACTTTCTTAGATTCCAGATCGAGGAGTGGAAACCGGCAATCCCCGACAACACGGGTAGCTGGTCAAACGGCCTTGCAGAAGTGATGATTGTAGCCCCTGACTGGAGTGACTATGCTACAGGTAACTTTAAGAGTATAAAGCGGATGATTTTACAGCTGGAAGTAAGGCCTAAAACCAAAACGGATATGCCAACTGTTTCGAAAAACTTTGCCCCGAGCAAGGTATCAGCTCTCTCCGATGAAGACCTTTCTTCGACGACGGAAGCGTCCACGACGACTACAAGGGAAGTGCCACTGCCGTACACTGTCATTGAATATGATTCGACGGTCGCTGAAGACTATAGCCACATCGTGAGAGTTATAGATGGAAGCCAGTTGTTTTCTGCGCAAATTGCTAACCCTGAAGGGAACTGTGGCATCCGACGTCTGGGACAGCTACCCTTCTCGTGGGCTGACGTACACAGTTGGCAAAGAACCCACATGTTTGGCTCCCGTTATTGGATCGGTCCAATAAGCAGGGTTGGAGGTACACGTAATACGGCCGCAGTAGAAGGAGAAGGGGGTCTATATCAGATCGATGTGACCGACTTGTTCAATATGAACGTCTGGAATACTGTAGGCACCGACGCAGTCATTGCCGTTTGGTTTAATACCAAACAGGATATTGAATTCGGAAATTGGAATAATTTAGCTGGTATCTATTTACAGAGTGACGTTAGCAACCAGAAAGTGATTACTAAAAGCACAATCAAAAATCTCAATTCATTAAGCTTGCAAGGAACATACAGCGAACGATTAATCTTCGGAGAATTGTAGACTGACCCGGTGCTGGGATGACCCCGGTTGGTGGTGCTAATTATGGGAACAATTAATTATGGGAACAATTATATTAGCTTCAGAGAGAGGGAATTTTTTAAATAGCACTCTGGTATTCATTCAAATGTCAATTAACTATTTAAAGGAAGTGGATGATCCAATTACCAAGGAAAAAGCATTAAAGTCATCTCTAATTACCATCAGCATTAGTGGAGAAGACCACACACTAGGTAAGGGCCTGTCTGTTTCATCGTTGAATGGCTTAAGGAGAGGTACGAAAATAGTCTTATTTACATAGGTAATCTTCTTCGGTCGAGACTGAGTCAAATGCCAGAGGTCGAATTCGCCTCGTACTCTATTCCCCATCCATCATTGTCGGAGATGAACTTCAGGTTACAAGTGAATGAAGGACTAGTTGCTTTGGACGTCTTCAAGCAAGCACTGGATGACCTAATATATTTGAGCAAAGGGATATCGAAAGAATTCAATGAAAAGTATGGTCAGTTTGATACTACCATGGCGGATACTACTACGGCGGACTAGTCACTGACTGCTTGACTTGATTTTCGTGTTCGGGAGGACAGAGAGGTCGGGAGGACAGAGAGGTCGGGAGGACAGAGAGGTCGGGAGGACAGAGAGGTCGGGAGGACAGAGAGGTCGGGAGGTTGGATGAGGCATATAATGACAAAGGGCATGGTATTCAGGAAGTTAAAAATTTTCTTCAGGCTTGAAGTACGGTTTGCGTCACTTGAGCTGAACCCCCGAGGCCGTTGGAGCCCCCGAGGCCGCTGGAGCCCCCGAGGCCACCGGAGCCTCGGAGGCCGTCGGAACCCCCGAGGCCGAGATCTTGTGAGGCCTGGTTGTGTTGGTCTAGGTCCTTTTTGAAGTGGTGGATACGTGACCAGGGATGGAGGAATGTGTTCTCTGGTCTGGGTCCGATCTGTTTTTGTTGCTCTTCGGAGATTAGAACGGCTGAGCAGTCCGGATCTAGAATATTTCCGAGCGCTACAGCATGAGCATTCATGAACTCGGGAGTGTAAAGTCCATGTGTGAGGTTGGTAGGTGTTTGCATCCATTTGTTTTGGAGGAATGCAATCATGAGTGGGTGGTGAGGTTCCATCGGAATGGGTCCGAGGTCGGTCAACCCTTCCTGGCTTTCTTGGCCTTCGCCTTCCGCGTCCGTGTCGCAGTCTAAAC